TTCCTCACTGACCGGGGTGTCTGCAGGGCTATTTCTCTCACATCCCACTCCCCTCTCCCAGAACAAAGAACTCCTCTACAGGTTCTTTCACTCTTAAATAGAGTTATTCACAGAGGCGCCAATTGGCCTGGCCTTGGCTAGAGGCGGGTCCGAGGAGCCTCTTACTGTAGCCCCCTCCCCACTACCTAAACCCTGTCAGACACCAAACCACCACAGTACTGCACGCGTCAACCTGGCATCTCAGGTGTGCAGCCCTAGCAAAGAAAATGTAAACTGAATGCCACAGAGTTGTCTGCTTGCTGCGTCTGTAGTACTACATCATCAAATCTTAAGTTATAGCATGTAAATCACCCTCTTCTCATTAATGTTAAGGCCACTGCTTTATTTCTGTCATTTGCCAATGAAAAGAAGTTTGAGCAATAGCTCTGATAACTGCCAGGCAGATCAGTGATGTCTCAGAGTGGGAAGGATAGGGCCTGTTAAACCTGAAAGCAAATGAGTTGGGGAAAATCTGTTTTTTGTAGCGTAGTGCCTGCTTTGTCAATGCATCTCTGCTTGATTGCTTATGTTGCAAATGCTATATCAATTTTCAGAGTTCATTCCAGGACACCCTGGAATTCCTTATGGCCAGTCGAGATTTTTGCAAGTCTTTCTGGAAGATCTGTGTGGAGCATCATGCCTTTTTCAGGCTTTTTGAGGAACCTAAACCAAAGCCTAAACCCGTTCTTTTTTCTAGAGGTTCATCATTTAGGTTCAGGTAAGACCTGTGTTCCTCCTTCCACTTTTGTTGCCTTCCCATTTCAAAATCACGTCCATAATGGTCTAGGATTAAACCTGTTACTTTCAGCTCCCCTTTTTTACATTGTAGTTTGCTTCTTTATATTTTCCATTGCATCTTCTCAGCCAGATCAGTGCAAAGAACACTGTAGAAAAAAAGCCTGCATTAATTTTGTAGTAGCTGTTGTAAAGTAGCTTTCTGGAGATAAGATATAAAGTATGTAGATTCCAGCTGGTTTCACATAAGAAAATCCATCTGTGTCCTAAGCAACACTAGCTAACAACTTTTTTGCAGTCTTTGGATCCTCTGCTTCTGTGATAGGATCTTTCCTTTGTATCAGAGTAGAGATTTGTATTTTCGTTCCATGTCCCTGTGGTAAACCCATCTTTATGCAGTTAAAACCAATGGCTTGTCTTTATGCTTGCAGAGCATTTATGTGAGATGACCACCTATGCTAATACCAAGTCTACCTGTGATATTGTTAGAGCTGTAGAGAAGTTTTTTAGTAGTTGGGTTATTTTCTTAGCCTGACAGAAGCCTCATTGTAGATATTGTATTGTGTATGCTGGGGGGGGAAATCCTTTTATTCATACAGTTTGTTTTGTTTGCGAAGCTGATATAAGCTGAACAGCCAGAAACCGTCTTTGCTGTTGTAAACTGTACACTCTAGTTGCCTTGCACAAGAACGTGGTAGATAAGGCCATTCTAAGTCTCCTCCCACTTTGTTTCCTATCTGCAAAGTAAATTAATTAAGATGGAAGGACCTATGTTAGGGTAAACAAGCTATAACTTGTTAAGTTTCTGCCTTAGTAAATAGAAGACTGTAGGTGCATTCAACTTAACTCCTGGTTTGGGGAGCAGGTTTTGGCTACATCCTTCACTCACTGTGATCTGTGCTACATAATTCAGTAATTTTCTCCAGGCCTTGTGGTAATTTAGTTAGTTGAAAGCCTCTAATGAATGGGAAGGATTTGGTGCTCTATTGAGTGTTCTTGAGGCGTGGGTTTCCTTTACTGCTCTCAGTTCCCTTTAGAGTTTATAACTTTGCACAATAGAAAATGCTGGACTTTCTCACTGCTTTTTCATGGCCTGTAGCAGAAGGGGAGAAATGGATTTCCAGCCTAAATCTCTGCAGAAAATGTATATATGCTTAGTTGATGTGTTTAATACTAGCAACTGAGTTATGAAATGCATTTCAGCAGTTTTCATCTTGGTTCCAGGGTTTACTGATACCAGGAAAAGTTGGTATTTGACTCAAAAGGATTTAAGAATATGTTTTGTTCGTGAGACGAAAACTTAAACCCTGCTTCACTTTCTATTGTGGTGACTTCCCAGTAATGTAGTACCCTATAAAGGGCACACAACTGAATTTAAGCAATTCTCAAATTGCAGCAATAAGTAACTCCATAGCAAAAAAAACGAGGCAAGTAGCATGCAAAATGATAAAAATTTGTCCGTATCTGTTGAGATCCCCTTCCTTATGATCTTACGTGAATTTCTGCTGATAGTGACAAATGCTTTTCTGGTTGCCATGACTTCATATTCAGGCCACAGACTTGTTTATGATGACCAAGTGGTATATTGTATTAAATATTTTAACTGTGGTTTTCTTCCAGTGGTCGGACTCAGAAGCAAGTTCTTGACTATGTTAAAGAAGGAGGGCACAAAAAAGTGCAGTTTGAAAGGTGAGAGGAAACAAATGAACTATCCCAATGTGTTTTAGTCAAAGAGCGGTCATGATTTCCAGTCAGGTATATTCTAAGATCTTGGCACCAGTCCAAATAAAAATTCTTTCGTTGTTGGTTTGACAGTTTATCACTTGTATAATTTCACCTTGGTCCTGAACGTTTTGGCAGAAGTTAGCATAACCTATAGTTTACTTAAAATATATAGTCTTCAGTCTGTTTTTCAGCAGTGAGTGTCCTACCATCACAGATCACTTCCTCTGTTACTGATTTGCACTGTCTGCAGTGGGGTGTAGTTAATGTGTGTAAACAGACATACTCATCTCAGAATAAAACTGAAAGTAACAGGAATAGGTATAGCCAACCTGAAGGGAGAGGTCTCCAGGCAAAGCTTCCAACTTGCTAGAGCCTCTTCTGTCTGAACTCATCTTGTTCCTGGTGAGCTGAAAGTAATGGCCAAAATGCCACAAAGACCGTGACAGCAGTTCATTGCTTATGACTCACGTTCTGGTGATAGGCCATTTTTGCTTCAGTGCCTCTCCCTTTTCTTACAACAGTATGTTTGCAACACATAGCGCATTTAAATTTTACAGAAAGGAGGAACAGCAGTCTGTTTTGGAGCAAACTTCTATGAAAGCTGCTATTCAAAGGTTTTGTTTTAAAGGAGATATGTCTCTTGATTCCTGTTTGTAGAAAAAAAATGAAATGGCTTCTTACTGTGATTTTCCTTTTATCTCTAGGAAGCACAGCAAGATTCATTCCATCAGGAGTCTGACTGCACAGCCTTCAGAACAGCATACAGAGGTGCCAAAACAAGTCAGTGATGTTGATGAAACCCTGGATCATGCCTTTTAAACATTTCTTGTTAGATTATCCTCCACTGATTGCTGTTTTGAAACTCTAGGAGGATAGTTTTCTGCTAGCTTTCCATTTAACTGGGAGCGGAGGAGCCCTAGGTGTCATAAGTTTTAGGTTTTGCCAGTGGAACATTTTCACTTCCGCTGTGGAACAGCGTTGCTTCCAGACAAATACAAATAGTGAGCTTGCCTGAGCTGTACTAACGACCATCTGAAAAACTGCAATCCATAACGTTACTGCTGGGATCCTAGGTTGTAGCTGGTGATTGTATCTGGGAAGAGTTTAATTCTTTTCCTTCACTGAGGAGTCTTGGTTGCCCCTGACAAGGTGTTTTTCTGTATTAAGCAGTGAGGAGAATTATTTCCTCAGAAGAATTAGAACTCTGGACTTCTAAGCGATTATCTCTGGTAGAAACCTAATGTATTTGTCTTATGTTAATAGCTGTTATGCGTTAGGAGTTTGCAGATCCCACAGCCCAATAATGATGAGGCTGCAGCAGCTGCATGTTCCCAGGTCCAGCTAGTACTAAGTCTGAGCATGTATTCACTACAGGCAGTCCTATAAATGCACATAAACAATATATATGCACATACACACAGGTAAACGCAAAGAGAAAAGAGCACTCCCACAAGCACAAACAGTGCCAGTGGCCTCACTCTGTTCTGCTCTTTGGCTGATCAGGATGAAAGTTTACTGGTAGAAAATACATATACGTATATACAATATGGATCCCTCCTGCAACTGGTCTTAGATACTCGGTCTATCCAGTGGCAGGCCCCTGGACCTCCAGGTCTCCCAGTGGCTGGTACCTGGACATGCAAGCCCCTGGGGCACGTGGCCCTACTCCAGTTGCTGGTACTCAGATGTACAGACACACACACACGCTATGGATTCCTCCAGTAATTCACCTTAAACACTCAGTCTGTCCAGTAACTGTCACTTGAATCCTCTGGTTCCCAGTTACCCCATGCACAGACACATGCACATGCAAATGTGTCTCTGCAATAGCTGGTACAGATTGAGGACTTGCCAGTAATTGACCCCCAGCCCCCATGGTCTTTCCGGTGTCTTGCTGACTTATGGCTGCTCCAGTAATTGGCTCCCGACTCTCTTATCCTACTCATCAAGTAGTCGAGTTTAGTGTTTGCTGGCAATTGCACATTGACCTACCCACCCAACCGATATGCATGTGCTCTGGTCTCTCTGGTTGCTGGCATCCCAGACCCAGACACACCCAGACCATGGGCTGGTGGCTGTCCTGGGACAGCCCCCTGAGGAGCTGGGTCAGGGAGCTCCATTTTCCTGACTAGGTTATTTGGGTTCCTCCACCTGCCAGTGTTTTTCTGTGCTCATCTGTGCTTGTGGAGGCAAACCTTTAATCACATAACCTTACGTTAGGTAGAGCTTAAACTGCAGGAGCAAGCTACTAGGTTAATGTATTTAAGAATGCTACCTGAACCTTCACCTTCCTTGCATTGCTTCCTTTTGATACTCACAGGCTCTCTCATTTCTCCAAATCTAAGAACTTCAGAGAGTTCTGTTATAAATGCAGCTCATTTCAAATATGTTTTAGCATTTTAATATTGCTAAGAGAAGCTCAGGTAGATGGAGCGTGGCTACTGGGCAGATTTGACATATTTATGTGTGCAGAAAAGCCAGCCCATGAACTAGTGGCTGATATGCTCCAGGGATTGAATATGGGGTGCTCAAAAGTCCACACGTGGCTTTTTTAGCGTATATAAATGTAGGCTGTGCAGAATTGTCTGCTGTGTTTATCTTTTCCTCCAGCTTCTTAAGAGTAGTGCGAACAGGTTGATGTTCTTAGAGTGCTGATGGCTGCCTTAGGGCATGGAAACACCTCAGATACCCCTTTTTACATATCACCACATTCTGTCTGCTTTCTCTTCCCTTGCTTAGCTGATGTATTTTACTGTTCTTCAAGATCAGAGACCTCTTTTCTTTGTTTAATTCTAATTCATTATGAAGCTTGGGTTACCTCTTCTGGTTTCGAGAGACTCCTGTGTTGCTGCAGATGCAGTGCAAAATTCTGGTGTGTAGTTACATGTAGCCTTTCCCCTCTGGCTCCCTTCCTTCCCAAACCTCTCCCCTCCCACCCCTCCCTCCTCCTTCGTCTCCCCTGTGCCTTTCCTCTTTTATCTTTCCAGAGCTCTAGCTTTGCCTATGGAGACGACAATGATGCTGCAGCAGTGCAGAGCTGCCGGCAAGGAAAGGAATTGAAAGCTGCAACAGAAGACACTGGACAGCACAAGAGCCCTTCCTTGAAAAAGAGCCCAAAGGAAGTCAGAAAGGTGGATGGAGCAGTGGTGTCAACAGTGGAGGAAGAAGAGGAGTCTGCTAAGGACAGGATGCAGCAGAACAGACCTCAATCACAGCAACCAAGCACAGGTCCAGCTTCCAGGGCTGCTCATGGCAGCAGCACCTCCATTCCTTTCATTGACTGCAGTGATGTAGATAGCGAGTATGATCTCCTCAGAGGACAAATAACCCGGTCATATTCCCAAACAAATGACAATTATGAGGGTGATTTGACCAGTGGTGCCTATATTCACTACAGAGATGAAAATCGCAATAGAACTAGATATAGGGATTCCTCAGCCTCTATAAAGTCTTCCCAGTATCTCTCTGAAGAGTACCTTGATGATAACCCAGCTAATCTCACCTTTTACGCTGGGGGAAGCCCCAGGATGCCAAGGCACAGCTCGCTGGTTGACGAAATGTTTAGAGGGCCAGGGAGCCGTAGTCCACTGGCCACTTCATTGCCTCCCAGTAGCAAAGGGTCAAGCCCTAACATGAGCCTGACTAGAACTGGCTCTCAGGGTTATGTCTCAGAAAATGGGCATGACTGCAGAGTGAGGACTGGGGAGGGTGATAGCCATGCCAGTAGCTGCCATGGGTATGGCAGGTATTCTCCGGGTGCTCAACGGCATACACAGAAAACCCCAAATCTCTGCAATAAATCGGTTACAGATCCATTTATCCTAAGCCAGATATCTTCAACCCCTGGGCAGGAGTATAGATCAGAGAGATATTGTAAAGGAGGTGGGGTGGCTAAGATATCTTCTCCAGAAGGCAAAATGATGGCCAATGGTATGCCTGCTGGGGCACAGTCAAAGCAGAGTCCAGTCATGCAGTCGCTGCATGCCAGTGGCGTGATGGATCACATGGCTGCAGTCCAGATGATGGAGGGCTCCACCAGCAGTGGGACAGAATCTAGCGATTCTGACTCAGAAATCATTAACCCCTTCACTCACCCCCTGGTGTTTGGAAATCCCATTGTGCTGAGTTCCTCTCCCATGCCTAGAAATAAGTATTCCTTTGGAAGCCTTCAGCTTGATGAGGAGGTAGAGGAGGATGTGTCTGTTGGCCTCAGTGATGAAGACGGTGTGCAGGTCTTCAGCTGCTAGGGACCGGGGTGTATGAGACCAGTGGATACTGTGATTGCTCATTAGAGTGGTTGCATCTTCTGGGACTCATGACAAATGACTGGTAATAATTCAGTGCATGGTCTATTTCAAATGTTATCATTGTACTGCCCTGCCAGAGGGAAGGGATGCTAGAAATACAATAATAAGGATAAGTCTCAGTGAAGCTTAACTGTGTAATGTGTCTCCTCTGAAAGGCAGGAGGAGAGGAAAATTATTGCTGATTTAGGTACCTTTGTAAGACTTTATACACGCACCTGTTCTTTGTATGAAGTCATATTTTAGGTATATATTGTAGCTTCCTTGACGCTTGACCTAGTTATTTTCACAAAACAAACAAAAACGAAACTAAGTAGGTACGTTGTGCTCTTTTGTATGTCTTTTACAAATATTTTTCTCTCCCATATAAGGAGAGCAATTTATGAGTGCCTCAACAGTTAGGAGAAAAAAAAAAAAACAAACTTACAGCCAAATGCAGGCAGCTTGATATTCAAGACCAAGACTTGTTTAAATCTTGAAATATGCTGGAAAATCTTTTCATAGCAAGAATGTGTTTGGTCTACTCATCTTCATAACCCATTTTATAATCTTAACTGATGAACTGAGGATACAAATTAGGCATGTATACAGGAACAATGGCAATATTAGCTTTTTCTTCAGTGGGTTCAACAGGCTCATTTGGAGATGGAGATTTTGAAACTCCAGACTCTTCCTTGAGCAAGAAAGAGAACAAGATGAAAGATACAATTCAAGTGAAAAAAACCTTATGTTGAAACAGCTCTAATGAAGAATGGTATGAGTATTATTTGCAAGGCAATCTGTTCTATCCTTTATCAGTGTGGTATAAAGATTAATTGCAAGAGATTTTTTTTCCCCTTATTCTTTCAGCGGAATTATTATGGAGACATCAAAGTTCTGTTGTGGGTGATTTTTGATGGGGGGTTTGGAGATGGTGGCTTTTAATTTTATTTTTTGCTTTGATCATGAAAAATCTTTATCTGTACAGGATCCAATTAGTCTGTCTAGGCTACTTTTTTAATAGTGCCACCGTATACATTTTTCATCCCCTGACACAGAGAATGATGAAACTAACTGTGGTCCAGGCTCATTGTCTTATGTACTGTACGTAGAGTAGTGAGATTCTGGCACGTGCAGAATGACAGACCAATTCTTTGTAAACTTCCTTTTCACAGGCTAAAAGTATCGAGAATTAAGGCTGTATCGTAATAAAATCTGGTTCTAGTTTCTCCAAGTTAATTAAGAAAATACAGATGAAAGGTCTCCTGTATGGAAAGTGTCCCGCAGTTACTAGAGCTGGGAGACAAGATGTGCTCTTTAACACTGGCCTTAATTTTAACTGTTATATATTTTTCTTGTGGGGGAAGGGAGTTAAATCTGAGAATTTTAAGTAATGAACAACAGCATTGACTGAACTGCAGGTCACCTGCAGTGGTCTGCATCACGCAGTACGTGCACCCACATAAGTACTGATGAACAAGTTACAGGACTTTGTAAATCTAGACAATATAAAATTTTCAAGATTGTTTTTACAAAAAGAATAAAGTAAGAAGTCTTTTTAATTTTTCTAATGCCTTGGTCTATGCACACTTAAACAGAGTTTAATCTGAGTGAAGGATATTTAAAAAGATAACTACAGTATTTAGGCATGTCTTGTTATATACCTTACTTTTTTGCAGTAAAATTTATCTTTGTGTAAATGTAGGTTTTAATCTGCTCATCTCCTTTAGTGTGATGGTTTTCTTAAAGATTAGATACCTCATTTTTGAACAGCAATGATTTAAAGCATCTCTTTAGGCAGTGATATTTTGGTAACAGGGAATGCTCTTGTTTGTTCCTGTAGTTTAAAGCATGAATCTAGAAACGGCGAGATTGATCATTAGGGAAAAGCTTGCTTGTATATTATTCTAAAAGAAGGTGGTTTGTGTTTTGGATTTAGAATAGCTGTAAAATAATTGCCTTGAACTTCTCAATATTTAAGATGAAATATAGGTAGTTGAAGCCCGTGTTAGACGATAGTGTGAGCATGGGGAGTGAGTGCATGAGTCTCCTTTTGATTTTTTTTGCTGCCTGTGCAGCAAAAGTACCAGTAGTTACACATTGAAGAAATAGCAATCTGGACAAATTAACTAATTGCTTTGCTAGCCAGTAAAATTAGAGTTCAAGTAGTGGATTTTCAACAAAAGCATTTGCAGTCGTTTCTGCTACTTAAAAGTGAATAGATTTCGTATTGTTTGGATTTAAGTGAATATAAAAAGTTCTAAGTGGTGTTTACTAGTATTTTGCATCTTTTCAGTTACTGTTTTCAGGCCTGATTTCTTCTCTCGTATGCCTACAAAGGTAATGGATTTATGATTTTGTCAGAACAGACCTGCTGGTAGCTGGAGTTAGCCTAGTTGCTAATAAAGCATCTCAACAGCTTTTCCCTTTTGAATATTATCCTCAGAAATGAAATATGAGGATTTTTCTCTATTTTCTGTCACCTAGCATTTTTTCAACTTTAAATGTTTAAGTGGTTGTCATTTAAACGCATACGGAATTATTCCAGTTTGAGGAAATAGTTTGTAAATTACATAGGAAATAATTTCATTTAGGATGAATCATTTTTGCAGTGTTTTTATGCCACTGAAGCTCCATTTAATATCAGTAGACAAGCATTTAATTAAAAGCAGACTGTGGGCCAAATTCCTCCACCAGACATGTGGTTCATATCTGAGTGCTTGCCAAAAATGATGAGTGAGCATTTCTAAATTGATGTTTTCATACAGGATCTGGTCCCTTAGAATTCATCTGGGAGTTTGTTTCTGTGAGACAAATACAGAGAGACCTTGCAGGAAAGAACAGAAACCTCTGGGGCAAGCCTGTGAATTACATGAGATGGGGGAATTCTTATTCTGGTTCACAAAGCACACATGGGAGGAGGAGCCTGTCAGTTCAAGTTAGTCATTGGAAGCATTGATTAATCTGCGTATACTGGTCAACAGCAGTGGTCTAAGCATACCTGTGTCTCCAGTCTAACAGAGGTAGTTATAGACTAAGTAAAAGATTTGATTCTCCCACCAGTTCCAGTACATTTTTCAGCATGGCTGATGGTAGTTTTGATTCACCGTTATAAATTTTTTATTCTCAACGATTAATTTTTAAATCCCATACTCATCAAGTTCGCAGATATCCTTAGGCAGTTGCTGCGAAGGAGGGAGCTGAATCCCAGCAACGTTGAACAGCTATGTCTACTCTGAATGAGTAGTCCTAAGCCACTCAATCTCCTGTCTTTCCACAGGGTGTCGAAGAAGCCTCTTGTTGGGCTCTTCAGGGAGTTTATCACTGTGCTGAACCAACTCTGTCCACATAGTTGGATGAATATGGAGACTAGTTGCAAAAGCAGTTTAGGGGTTTGTCCCAAAGTAACGTGCAGATGTAGTTAGTCTATAGATAAAAGGCATTCTGATTCTTTCTTTGCTATTCCAAGTACTTGACCACATTCAGTCATCTTCTACAATGACAGCAGAAAAGTTGTGTCAGACAATTTTAAGTTTTATCATGCTCAGCAGCAGCTCAAACTTGCTATGGTCTGTTAGGATCTTCTCCTGGAGGTTTTTTTCATATCAGCCTTTTCTAGAATCTAGTTTTCCTCAGTGACCTAGGATATAAAATTTGGGAATAAATTTGGCTGGGTGAAGGAAATGTGGATAGTGGCAAGTTGATGTAGGACCCAGGACCTACGTAGGATATTGCAGGTATGGAGTTTTGAATGGTTGATACCTGAATGGCCTAGACTGCACTGGTTTTGGTTTAAATCCATATTCCTTGTGCATGACAGAGAGGGGTGTTCTCTGAAGATGATTTGCTCCTAGTGCTGCTGTTGTCTTTAATCCCCCATAGCTTGTAGGCCTGTCTAACACATAGCATCCCATTAACCATTGTAGTGCATGCTAAATATAAATT